TGGGGCTCTGTGGGAGATGGAGTCTCCTTGGTGCACTGTGGGAGATGGAATCTCTTGGGGCACTGTGGGAGATGGAGTTTCATTGGGCATTGTGGGAGATGGAGTCTCCTTGGGCACTGTGGGAGATGGAGTTTCCTTGGGCTCTGTGGGAGATGGAGTCTCCTTGGGGCACTGTGGGAGACTGAGTTTCCTTGGGCATTGTGGGAGATGGAATCCCTTGGGGCACGGTGGGAGATGGAGTTTCCTTGGGCATTGTGGGAGATGGAGTCTCCTTGGGCACTGTGGGAGATGGAGTTTCCTTGGGCATTGTGGGAGATGGAATCCCTTGGGGCACGGTGGGAGATGGAGTTTCCTTGGGCATTGTGGGAGATGGAGTCTCCTTGGGCACTGTGGGAGATGGAGTCTCCTTGGGACACTGTGGGAGATGGAGTCTCCTTGGGCACTGTGGGAGATGGAGTTTCCTTGGGGCACTGTGGCAGATGGAGTCTCCTTGGGGTCCTGACCCAGCCATGTGGGGTCACTACACCCATGGTTGGCTCCGAGCACCCACTGCTTGTGCAAAGATGCCTGTGGGTGCAGGGGGTTTGCGTCTGTCTGTGTGTTCCAGTTCATATGCGTCTCTCCCACTCTGTGTGTGTGCGCACATGTGTGTTTGTGCAGGTATTTGCTGCAGCTCTGTTTGTGCATGCATGTGCTTGTGCATGTGCTTGTGTGTGCATGCACGCATGCGTGCCAGGGTGTGTGCAGCAATGTGTGTCTGCGTGTGCGCACATGTGTGAGTCCAGTCCTGGTGGGCACAGTGCAGCAGGACTCCCTGGGTATGCTTGGGAGATCCAGCAGGACCTGGTGTCATGCTGTTCCCCACCGGTGCCACGCTGTCCCGGCACTGGTGCAGAGTCCGGCAGGGCTGTCCCAGACATGGCCATCCCCAGCCCCGGGCACTGACCCAGCACTCCTGTTGGTTGCACCGGCTGCTGCCCCAGGGTGCGGGGATTCCCGCAGCAGAGGGGCCCGGTCCCGTGGCCCCCTGTGCCCCGAGCAGTGCGGAGTCCTGGTCCCTCACGGCTCTGGCCCGTGGACCCCCCAGTGCCGGGTCAGGCCGAGTGCGGTGGGAAGCAGCGGCACAGGCGGGCGCAGGCAGGCACAGGGTGAGTTTATTGTGGCCAGAGCCCAGGAGTGGAGCGGGGAGACCCCAGGCTGGGCTGAGGGCACCTTTAGCCCCCCCACCCCTGGCCTGTCTGGCCCTGAGGGTCTCCCTGCCCGCTCAGGGAGCCCCTGCCCCGGCTCTGTGGCCCCAGCCCAGCCTGGGCATGGTGGCGTGTGCAGCTGGGGGGCACTGGGGGTGGCACTGGGGGTCCTGGGGCTGTGCGGGGGCTGGTGAGGCCCTGGAGCAGATGGGTGAGGGGGGGCATGGGGGACCCGGAGGCTGGGGGTGCACTGAGCTGTGCCAGGCACACGGGGGGCACAGGGAGGGTGCCAGGGCAGGTGGGGGCGCGGGGGGTGCAGGCAGAGCCCGGGGGGCAGTGGGGGCCAGGATGGCCAGCTCAGGGGGGTCCGAGGCTGCTGACGGTGGTGTAGCTGAACTTGGAGAGCGAGGCATTGGCATTGGCCACCTCCTCCTCGAGTGGGCGGCGTGGGCAGGTGCGGCGGCAGCCAGCGCAAGTGGCCAGGAAGGCTTTGCGGAAGCGGCGGTTCATGAAGCAGTAGATGAGGGGGTTGGTGCAGGCGGAGGTGTAGGAGAGGAGGTGGATGAAGGAGATGGGCGTCCCCGAGAGCGCCCGCTGGGCTGCCTGCGGGGCGAAGGCACGCCACGTGTTGGCGGTGAAGATGGGCAGCCAACAGAGGAAGAACATGGCCACGATGACCACCAGCATGCGGATCACGCGCCGCTTGGCCACCAGCTTTGCCTCCGAGCTGTTGATGCGCGCCCGCTCCTGCTGCGTGCCCGCCGTGCCCAGCGCCCGCAGCTCCAGCGCGCCGCCCGGCCGGGAGAGCTGCAGGTAGCAGCCGTCCCCCTCGTCGCAGGTGGGTGCCGGCTCCCTGCTGCCATTGCGCTGAGCTGTGGGGCAGAGGGGATGTGGTCACGGCTGTGGCACCACGGGGACCTGCGTCGTCCTGAGGCCCTGAGCACATCCTCCACTAGGACGCAGCAGGGTGTCGGGACGGGATGTGGCGCAGGGCCCTGCACAGGGACGGGTCCCCAGGGAACCCCCCAGCTGTGGGGACCTAGGGTGTGGGCTCAGCCCTACCCCTCGTCCCAGGGCAGGGGCCTCTTCCCATGGGGGTGTTCTGCTGTGGGAGGTGAGGGCAGGGCTGAGCGGTGCCCCCAGCCCTGCCCCACGCCAGCCTGGTCCCTCACCTGCAGCCTCCCCCTTGATGTCCAGCTCGAAGCGGATGCCTCGGTAGAGCTCGCGGGAGATAAGCCCATAAGCCACAATCATCACCACGCCGGGGATGAAGAAGAGGATGAGGAGCAGCAGGACATACCTGGAAGATGTGGCACCAGTCACTCAGTGGCCTCTCGCCAGCCCGGCCGCAGCAGTGGGGCCGGTGGCTGGACCACATCGTGCCTTGTGCTGGGGTGCCGGGGGCGGATGGGGGTCCTGGGGCTGACTCACCAGGCCTGCCGGACCTGCTCGCTGGGCCACTTGTGGGTGCACTGGCTGATGGGCGGGCGGGCGCCATGGGTGGACATGGCGTGTGTGGTGCTGTAGACGGCATACGGCAACATGAGCAGCGCCGAGAAGAACCAGGTGCTGGCGATGACCCGGCAGGCGTGCGACCGTGTCTGCCAGACGCGGGACTGCAGCGGGTTGCAGATGGCACTGTACCGCTCGATGGCGATGGCCACCAGGCTGAAGGTGGAGACCGAGACGGAGATGCCTGCAGGCAGCAAGGGTCAGCATCCACAGCATGTGGAGTGGCACGCAGGGGCTCAGCCCTCCCCCAGCCCCTGCCTGCCACCCCCTCGTACCCATGAGGTAGGCCATGAGCTTGCAGACGGCCTCTCCGAAGATGAAGGTGCCCATGAGGTTGGGGATGAGCGTGAAGGGCATGCAGCAGACTGCCAGCATCAGGTCGCTGAGCGCCAGGGAGAGCAGGAAGGAGTTGGTGACGGTGCGCAGGCGGCGGTTCAGGAGCAGCACAGCCACGACCAGGGCGTTCCCGCAGACGCTCAGCACAAAGATCAGTGTGTACAGCAGGACACGCACTGTCAGGTCCAGGTCTGCGGGTGGCAGGGTCACGGGCTGCCATGCGGACACCCTGATGGCACCCCGGCAGGGGAGGGCAGCGTGGCCAAGGAGATGTCCCCCCCCCGCAGCCTGCAGGCATCCTGGCACAGGCAGGCAGCGTGGCCGAGCACGGTGCAGGCACCTGGGCTCCACCTCCAGCCGTGTCCAGCAGGCTCGGTGGGGAGCTGGGAGCCGGGCACCCAGGTTCCCTCCATGTGGATGTGACCACAGCAGACGTGGGGCCGGGATGCCCCAGCGGCTCCCCGGCTCGGCTCCATGGACATCCCACTGCCCGGGCTGGGTTCCAGTGCTGGGGCACCCTGTGGTGCTGCCCCTGTCCTGCCCGTACCCCAGGGCTGAGCCCTCGGCCATGCTGGCAGGACGTGGCTGCCTGCGGCTGCCCCTGGGCCCCTGCCCTCCTGGCGCAGAGGGAGCTGCATGCCCGAGCCCCCCGCTCCCCCGGCTGCCCTGGGACGTGACTGGGGCTGTTCATCCCCAGAACCGAACAACAGCCGGCGCTGGCACTGCATCCCACTGCCCGCGGAGCCCTGGCTGGGCACGGTGGAGTGGGCCGGGGGTGCTGGCCCCCGGTGGTGGGGCAGGTGGGCAGTGGCTGTGCCCCTGCTGGGGTCCCCTCCACCTTCCCACTGCCCCCCTGGGCCGAGCCCAGCTTGGACCCTGGGCAGCCCCTGCCGTGCTGGCTCTGCTGCCTGCCGTGCTGCCCCAGGAGCCGGCACCGGGACCGGGGACCAGAGCTGAGGCTGGGGACAGCCGCCGGCGGGGTGTGCCGGGCCCGGTGTGGCG